CACATGAGTCTAAGTGCCCAAAGCTAGCCAGGTTATTCTGGAATATGAGATAGAAAATCTAACTTTCCTGACAATAAAAGTAAAATTAACAATTTACTGTCTCATAGTGGCATCCTCACTCTGCCTAACTGGTAGGCCTATCTCTAGATGGACAGCTTAATTGGCATCCTAAACTTCCTCCAAAGCGTCCAAGAATAATTTGGATACATTCTAATAAAATAAGCAAAATTGAAAGACAATAATTTGCCCAAGCAAACCTGGTGAATTTCATCATCTAGCACAGATGGGCTTCTCCCACACAACAGGGATTCTCAGGCTTATTAATTTCCCTCTCAGTCTGACAACAAAGCACCAATGTTATACTAACACATGGGGAAAAAAACGTGCTCGTTATAATAGGGTCACCCATGAGTTTGACTGCGGACCTGGCCACTGTCTTAGGCAAGGATGTAGGGGTCACAGCATCTGAGAGCTGTTGCTCCTGAATTCCCTAAATATTTCCCACTGTTGGCTGGCTGGGGAACTCTAATCCAACACATCTAGACAGCAAGAGGCTGGGGAGTAATCCCCTAAAACATGGTAGAAAACACACTATCTTATCACCAGTGGGGGAGTAAAACTCCCTTGCCACAGATTCTACATATGACCTGGAAAGTGTTGGAGAAAAATCTGTAAGAGGCAACTTCTGAATTTATTTTCATCCCATTTATATTTTCCTCTCCCTTCTCAATTGCCCTTCAGGGATGAGATGAGGTTTATTTTCTCTACTTAGTTACAACACAGACTACATCGGTCTCCAAAATTTATTATAGGTTTGCAAAGCCAGGTCAAGCATGCATTGGAAAGACCCTGAAACAGAAAACAGGGTGCATTTATAATTGAGCAACAAGGAACTACAGGAGTATAAGGCGATTGGTTACAAATTGATTATAAAAAGGTTAAAAGTTTAAAATAGACTCTTTATGCTGTACCTGTTAAATGTCAAACCACTTCACCTAGCTCTAAATGCTCTGCCGAACTTCCTCTAATAGAGTAGAAGCTATTATGTGCTTGCTAATTAATGGCTACTATATTTAAAACTCTGGCAATGCTCAGGAGCCCTATGCCCAAACATCTGTATTCAAATTGCTTAAATTATTCCACAAATGCAAACGCCATCTCATCCTTCCTTGGGTAGCAAAATGTCCTGCCCGCCCCCTCACCCCAGTCTGATTTGCAACCAACACAGGCATAAAAAAAAAACAACCTCTTCATCAGGTAGGAAGGGAACTCACGGCCAGAAGATATGGTGGTGGCTGTTTGGGGAGAAATCACCAGGGAAAGCTATTATCTTCAAGCCTCTTTGAGAGCTTTCAAGAGGCACCTCCTCTGAGAAAGGAGCTCCTGAACTTGACTGAGTTCTCTCCTCAGTATTTCAGAGCTGTAGCTACCGCAAAGTTTCCAGACACAAATAACCGAGTTGGTATTTCAGGAATTACCCTTATGGGATCCTCTGGAATGTAGCATTTTTGAAAGGGACACATGTATCTCCTAATTGGAAAAGGCCTCAGGCCCAGACCTCCAACTACAAAAACCAGAATATTAGTCACTCACCAACCAGCCCGCCCCCCCACCCACACACTTTCTTGAATCACCATTGCTAAAACTGGGCGTTCATGTGTAAAATTAAGCCTCTGGTCTGCCCAAAAGGCCTCTCACCTGCTGATCTAACCTCCCATTGGCCTCCATGCCCTCCTTCTGTCTGGACTACAGACCTCCCGAGGGATCAAAGCTCACCCCACTTCTGCACCACCAGAGGGAGACAGGAAATTATCATAGCCAGCCTGGGGAGGCCCTTAGAGCCTTCCTCTCTCTGAAGCCGGGTACAGAAAGTTAGGGGGGAAACTAAGGACAGGGTGAAGTTTGTGATGCTTCCAATATAAGTAATTAAGATTTTGCTTTATTATTTTCCCTGTGTGCAGACTATAATTTCTCAGAGACAGAAAGCCAACTAACCGTATCCTTGCCTCTCCGTTCTTTCTGATTTAGTTCTCCTGATTTATTTATTTTTGTCCTTCAGCTGTATCAACTAAAAGAGAGAAAGAGCGTTCCTGTGATGAGAGAATTATAAATCAGGGTAGGCCTGCTATAGGATACAGCCTAAAGGTGGGTAATGCATTTCTCCCAGCCCAGTCCTGTGCCATAACAGTTTACGTTTTGAAAATAAAAAATATATTATTTTGAATATGTAAAATGGAATGCCAGGCAGGAAAAAAAAGCATACCCCTCCAAATCAAGGACATTTTCTAATGTGTAGGAGCTTTTTCAGGTGGGGGAATAGTTTATGCTACTATAATTAATTCAATGGCTGAATGATTGCAACAAACAAACTTCAGTCTAAAATTGCAAAAAGTTTTTATTCCTTTTATTACTTTCTAGAATGAGCATATTAAGTTTTATTTCAGGCTTAAATTAAGAGGTGCCCTCTAAAGCAAACTTACATGGAATTGATGAGGGTTGTGGTTTTTTTTTTTGGTTCTGCAGAAGTTTTCCAAATTCAGTTACATATATTAATCTTATATAAATATTCATCAGGCATACAATTAGACAGCCATTATTCACACAGTTGTGATATATTCTGGAATTTATACACAAGCACTGTGGAAGATTAATGTGTTCAACAACTGTCAGGAAAACAAGGAAATTGTTTTGTCACAAAGGGAAATGGGAAAAAGGGGTATTCCAAGTCTGTGAAGACACTTTTTTCTGTCAACAAAATGAGAATCTTTAAGGGCCATGCCCCTCCCAGCCCCAACAGATGCTTTTCTGGCATATTAACAAACTTCTCTGCTTCCAAACAAGCTTAAGAACGAAGCTTCTGTGATTTCCAGGAGTCATCTTCCAAAATAAACATTTCTATTAGCCCTTTGCATGCTGTATTGGTTATATGGGTTTCTAAACACAGAGGTTATGTATAAGATTCACAATCTAATACAGAGACCAAGTCTGGAACACTGGTCATAATCTGCATTCTCAGAGCTTTAAAAAATCGTATCAAACCAAACCAGTTTTAAATAAGCATTAACAAAGCAATACAGTCTCCAACAAAATCAGGAGTAAAGGCAAGGGGTGAGTGTTTGTATACAGCACAAGAAGAATTTTTTTCAAAAGTAAGTCCTGCCTGAAGCACAGCGCTAACATATGCTTCCTTCATGGTCTTTCCTTCTCTCCTGGAAATATTTTCTCTGTTCTTCTATGGCTTTTTCCAACAACTGAAGGTTTATTCCTTCTACACATGTAAATACACGAGCTTTTAAAACCATCTCACCTGTAATAAAAAAAATGAATCAATCAATCAATCACCACATTTTGAATTAAAGGATCTCTTAAAACAATTTCAGAGTCAATAATGCAATCTAAAATACATTTCTTCACTCAGGTCATACAAGAGATATCTAGAAACCAACAAGTTGCTTTTTTAATACCACTTGATTCAGTGGTAGCTACACTCTTTATTACTTCAGCACACAAAACACTTTATTTTGCAATATATTTTTATACAGCTTCTTTGAGAAAACCATCTCCAAGTGGTTTACAAAATGAAAAATACACAATAAACACAATAAACTGAAAGCAATCGATTTTTAAAAAGTGGTAAAAAAAGGTGATGGGGGAAAAGATTGATATGTATAAAACCTAGATGATGAGATAGGTCTTCAAAAGCGGTCTAATAATTGGTGAGAGAGCATTCCAGAGTGCAGGAATAGAATAAGTGAAGAATCAAATTTTAAACTGGAGTGAAGATCCAAAAAGATCAGACTCCGTGGTGTATATGTTGGTCATCCTATGTTTTCTCTGTTCTTTTCTTCTCTTTGCTTTGCTATATACAAAGCAATTTACACAATTCTTGGTGGATCCATGTAAATATTCCAAAGTTCACAGAAGAAGCTTTGGCAAGAATGTGCATGAAGTGGGAAGCCTCACCCAACTAGAACAAATAGTGTAATGTGAGTAGAACACAAGAACTGGAAGTGGCAAATATGACTGTGCTTCAAGTTATAAGCTACAATAAATCAATTCAATACTCAGAAAGGATATTTCTCATTTGACTTTTGAGCAGACATTTAGTGTCACAACAAATCTGAAAAGGAGTGACTTTTCTACTCCTTTTTTCTTAGCCTTCTAATTAAAATAAGCTATTCAAAAACAACTGGCACAAGCTGAGGCTATGTATAGCAAGTAGAAAGACACTGTTCATTTTTGAGGTAAGGTATGTAAATACACAATAAATTAAAAGGTGTGCCTTATGTCCATATACTTTTGAATGCAATCAAGAAGGATTCAAGAACTAACAATTTCAACAGTAATGAGTTGGTATAAAAGGGTAATATATTTATTCCTGCTTGACCTCCTTCTCAGAAATCCATTTTATTAGAAGAATGAATTGTCTAAACAATGATATCTGAATACAAAAGAACTGCTACATTTTTATAAGGCCTTCTAACCAATAGACTATATCAAATAAGTACATTCTGCTGGTGGAACGGCAATCATTAAGAATTCCTCCTTCTTGTCCTCTACTTTCTCCATGCCCTCAGAATCTATACCAGGAGATTGGGGGATTCTCTTGAGCAATTTGATTCATGAATGAAGCTTGGTGGATCAGGAAACACACCTCAGAAAAGCCTCTTGCACAAGTGGAATTCTATTTACGCAATATCAAGTGAAGCTCAATGTGTACATTTGTCTCTAGGAAAATGAATATTTTTTGTAGATTTTTATTTTATGGCATAGATATTATAGTTTTCCAGTGCTCAAGACAGAATTGCCTAATATGCAAATTAACCAAATTGCACACTTGCTGCTTTTATACTGGAAGGTGGTGCTGGACTTCCAGGGAAGAAATGGCAGACTGAAGATGGCTCCACAAAAAAGCAGAACTGATGACTGTGGCAGAATGAAGAGCTGGCAAGTAGACCGGCTCTTTGATAATTCCTCTCCAGACAAGAAGACGACTTGAGACCACCCACAAGTGTTCCTCATGATGAGACCACAAGACAGCGGTCTCTGACTGGTTTAGAGCTCTGGGAGACAAGGGAATAGCCATCCTGCTCAAACCACAGTTGGCACCTTTAAAAGAACACTCGGTTCACATACTTCCTTTTCTAATAACTTTTGGAAATTGATTGTTAACTGCTTTTCAGCTATTAGGAACGTTTGGATCGACAGGTTTTATAGCACTGGTTGAGTTTCCTTCAATCCTTAGTGAAATAAGTTTTAAATAGAAGTTTAAGGACTTAAAAAAAAATTCTTTTGGAATAAACAACAAAAGGGTAATTAAAACTTTTATTTTAGAAAGTTACAAACAGATTGAATCCAGATAAATTTGAAACAAGATTTTGGAATTAATTATGAAGAATGCTTCCCATGGGAAAATGCCTTTGTTTTGAATTCTTTAAAAAAAAACATGATAGGATGGGACTTTGAAAGTTGGATGCTATAGGGAACTAGAAGGAACTAAAGATTACAATTAAAGGAGAAGAACATTCAAACTTGACTTACAAATACAGAATGAAGCAAAATATTTTAACACTGGACATACTGAAGGATATTTTTGAAGAATGGACCCAGAAGTTAATTTTAAGAATGTCTGCCTCTATAGCCAGACTATGTTTAAAAGATGTTATGGAAGAGGAACGAGTTTTATTTGACAAGATTGAGACTGATCTGAAAGTGGATTTAAAACTGACAGGTTACAAGAATGATATGGAAAAAGATGCTACACTGGACATACAAAAGAAACCGGCTGATGTCTTAATAATTAAAAGGGATATACAAATAACCATCTAGGAGAGTGACTTGGATAATTTCCCTGTATTGAATGTACAACAGAGGCTTGTTAAAGTTTTGAAGAATTTTATGAGAAAGGGTTACAAGAATGATATGGAAAAAGATGCTACACTGGACATACAAAAGAAACCGGCTGATGTCTTAATAATTAAAAGGGATATACAAATAACCATCTAGGAGAGTGACTTGGATAATTTCCCTGTATTGAATGTACAACAGAGGCTTGTTAAAGTTTTGAAGAATTTTATGAGAAAGGACAAAGAAAAAATGAAAAGAAATCAAGTTCTAGGACATTATTTGAAGGGACTAAAGATCAAGATCAAGTTAGTAGTAAAAGGAAGGAATATAAAG